CCCTGCAAATTTTTTTAATGCCTATTATGTGCAGTAATAAAATATGATTTTAAGTGTTGGGGACTAAATAGTGAACAAAAAGAGAGAAAGTCACTATCCTCATGATAGTGACATTTTATTTTATTTACATGGACAGTGCTCACTTTGCAGCACATATGCTAAAATTGGAACAATACGGAGAAGATTAGCATGGTCCCAGCACAAATATGACGTGCAAACTCATAAACTGTTCCAATCTTAAAAAAATAAAATTAATAATACATTTACATTTTGTTTTATAGAGACAGGGTCTCACTATGTTTCCTAGGCTGGTTTTGAACTTCTGACTTCAAGCGATCCTCCCGCATTAGCCACCATGCCTGGCCTAAGCTTTATGTTTTAGTTAGAGAAAGAGCCTGGGAATGAAGCTATCATGGAGAAGAGCAGAGCTGAGATTTAAAGGGAGTAGATCCTGAAGCCTGATTGAAAGGGCAGCATTTCCCACCTGAACTCAACTATACTTATCTTCAATAACATGAGCAATAACTGATCCTTGTTGTTTAAGGCAATTTAAATAGATTTCTATGTCAATTACAAGTGAAAAGGTATTCATTGTTAGGTGCCCAGCCTCGGCCTGATCTAGATGTTCTTTCTCTGCAATTTTGAATTTGTATCTTCACTTAATTAGCTGATTTGAAAATTAATTAAATTAGGCTAGGCACAGTGGCTCAAATTTGTAATCCCAGCACTTTGGAAGGCGGCATGTGCCTGTAATCCCAGCTTCTTGGGAGGCTGAGGCAGGAGAATCACTTGAACCTGGGAGGTGGAAGTTGCAATGAGCCGAGATCACGCCACTGTACTCCAGCCTGGGCGACAAAGAGAGACTCACTCTAAAATCAAAAATTAATTAAATTAATTAATTTTGTTTATATTTGGCCATGTTTCAAGAAAAATTTAATACCACTTACAAAGACATAAAACAGGCCGGGCGTAGTGGCTCACGCCTGTAATCCAAGCACTTTGGAGGCCAAGGCGGGCGGATCACCTGAGGTCGGGAGCTCAAAACCAGCCTGACCAACATGGTAAAACCCCGTCTTAAAAAAAAAAAAAAAAAAAAAAAAACATGATTAATAAATTTGTAGTTATTTTTTTCATTAAGTCTGAAAAAGTCTCAACATATGTCTTTTTTTTTTTTTTGAGACGTAGTCTTACTCTGTCACCCAGGCTGGAGTGCAGTGGCAAAATCTCGGCTCACTGCAACCTCCGCCTCCCAGGTTTAAGCGATTCTCCTGCCTCAACCTCCCGAGTAGCTGGGATTACAGACACACGCCTCCATGCCCTGCTAATTTTTGTACTTTTAGCAGAGATGAGGTTTCGCTGTGTTGGTCAGGCTGGTCAAGAACTCCTGACCTCAAGAGATTCACTGGCCTCGGCCTCCCAAAGTCCTGGGATTACAGGCATGAGCCTCTGCACCCGGCCAACATGTGTCTTTCAATAGTGCCCTCAGCCACTCTCTAGTCTCTCTTCTAAAATTCCTATTAGACGTATATTATTTGTGTCACTTTTTCATAATTTCTTTTTTCCTCTAAATAATTTATCAGTTTTCCAGTTCACTCACTATTTCTCTCTCTCTCTCTCTCTCTCTCTCTCTCTCTCTCTCTGTGTGTGTGTGTAAGAGATGGAGTTTTGCTGTTGTTTCCCAGGCTATAGTGCAATGGCCCGATCTTGGCTCACCACAACCTCCGCCTCCCGGGTTCAAGCAATTCTCCTGCCTCAGCCTCCTGAGTAGCTGGGATTATAGGTGTGTGCTACCATGCCTGGTTAATTTTGTATTTTTAGTAAAGATGGTTTTTCTCAATGTTGGTTAGGCTGGCCTCGAACCCTTGTGGGAGGCTCGTGGGAGAGGTCATTCCCATAAGCCAGGGCTAACATTCCTTTTTTTTTTTTTTTGAGACGGAGTTTCACTCAT